TAGTTATATGGTAAATATATGTCTATAGAAGGATAGAAAAGAATGCATCATAAATTGATTCGAGACTCAATATCAGATGAGGTTATGTAATAATCAAGTGGTAAGGAAGGAATATAAGGATGAAATAATTTACAGGTCAGATAATTGTTTAATTGACAGATATAAAGAAAAACGAAAAACATATAGGTCATAATAACATAAACTGAATAATAATCAAGCAAACTTGTATAAGAGGTTTTGTGGATATTATTGTAATTTTAATAGTTGAGATCATGGATCAATTGAAGCTAGACCACCATGGAAAACCTGGAAGCATTGGACGGCCGTTTCGTCCTATTTTGGGACTCCTGGATTCGAATCTTACGAGGCGGGATCGTGGATGTGGACTGCTGAGGAGTCCAATACTAGGACGAAGCGGCCGTCCAGTACTTCAAGGTTTTCCATGGTAGTCTAACTTCAATTAACTCATGATCTCAACTGTTAAAAAAACTTGTATAAAATAATAATAATAACTAATTAGAGTTTAAAATTGCGAAACAATAATTTTAAAAAATCAACAATAATCAAATAAAAGTGAAGAAGAAGGAAAAAAACTCGAAACATACCAATAAAGGGAATTAGGGTCAAGGAAGGATGAGAGGTTGGGCTAATCATTTCTGTATGCAAAGTTCAGGCTTGAGTTCGTGGATTGCCAATGCCTGATTGAAAGTTTGAGCATGTAGTGACCTACTTTTATCAAGAGAACGCAATTGGTTTAATGGAAACAATTATTATTATAACCAATTATACCGGTGATTGTTTTACTATACTTGTTTGTTTGATTGTACTAAAGACATTCTTCCTTCCTTTGATTGTGAACTTGCACGAATTCGGTTACGCTTAGTAACCACACTTGTACTCCTTTGGCACGATCTCAGTATTCTTTCGATACCACGAGATCGCCAACGAATACATCTCGACTACAGCCACCAACTGCCTACTGATATTTGGCTTACGGGGGATCTTATCGGTTAACTGGCACGTAGTCTTCCTGTAGTGGTGATCATAGTCAACCGCGACTCGACACCACACTACAAGCATCTTTTCAGTAGAGTATTGTTACTTATCTATTTCATTTTTAGATTAATGTTTTGATCTAATATATATGTATATTCTTGATAATTAACAATATGGAATTCAAAGAATTATTTATAAAACAAAAAGACTGTTACATTGTTTTCATTAAATAATTATGTTGAAATATTCCTTTTCAAGTGAACTTTTATAAAATATAACAAAAGTAAATAAGAATAACATGTCATTTGTTATTTAGAGTAAGGTAATACTAATCTTATAGACTAATGAAAATAATTGAGTAAATTTATCAGTTAATCAAAACAAGTAAATTAGAATCATGACGACACTGGGTATAACGACATCATGAGACGACATGGACTGGAAGAAAAGAACGAGAATGAAGAAAGATCGTAAATTTGTATACCTTCAAAAAACGTATACATAAAACCACACTACAGACAACCAAATCGATCACATTGGCATCAATGAAAAATTCGAAAGGTCCATGGAAGACGTAAGGACGAAGAGAGGAGGTGGTTTAGCTTCAGATCACCACTTGGTGGAGACCAAGGTGAAACTAAAGCTAAGGAAGCACTGGACAACAATAGAATTAATGTTACAAAAGTTTAATACAGTATTCCTTCGAGATACTGACTAATTCAAGAAATTCAATATAGCTCTCAGCAACAGGTTCCAAGCATTATCCGATCTACTCCAAGAAGAGAAAACCACTATGAACGAGAACTGGAAATGTACAAAAGAAGTAATAACTTCAACATGTCAGGAGATCCTTGGTCACAACAAGTACCAGCATAAAGGGTGAATTTCTATTGACCAAGATTAATGAAGGGAAGAACAAGGAAACAGTAATCAACAGCAGTCAAGGCACAGGCCGAATACACAAAAGGAAATTAGAAAATGAGGAGGGGCATTAGAGCTGACAAGCAGAAATACGCCGAAGACCTAGCAATGACAGCGGAAGAAGCTACAAGAGGAGAAAATATGAAACAAAAGCATGATACAGCGAAGAAATTGGCAGAGAAACATAGTAAACCAGAGTGATTATTTGAAAAAAAGAAGGCAGGTCAAACACTGAAATTCGAGAACTGTGGAAGAGGTAGGTAGAGCAATTTGAAGAACTCGTGAATGAACCGGCTTCAATGAACCCACCAGACGTCGAAGGAGCATACATAGACCCTCCTATAGATGTCGCTCCACTGAGGATTGGCGAAATCAGCATGGCCATCAGATAAATCAAAATTAGGGAAGCAGCATCACCGGCTGAAGTACTAAAGCCAGGTAGAGAGGTAACTGCAGCAATTCGGACTATTGTTCAGCAATCAATTGAATGGAACTCTTCATTATACATCAGCTTCTTTGACAATGAGAAAGCAACCAACAAATGTGGGTAGAACGACCCTACTGATCCTCCTTCGGCACTATGGTGCAACTAATAGCGTCAAAATTCTACGGAATACATACGTTGAGCTGTATTGTGATGTCCTCCATGAAGGGCACCTCAGATACATTCCAAGTGAAGACCGGTGTCAGACAGCGTTGCTTATTCTCGCCCTTTCTCTTTCTTCTGGTGACTAACTGAATTATATAGACCTATACATCTCAGAGGAGAAAGGAATACAGTGGACACCTTGGATACAGTTAATTCAATGTATGACATAACGTGGAGTTTATAATTTAGATGAAATTTCCTGATATGATTTAACAAATTAGTTAGATACCACATTGTCAGTGTTTTGTGAAGCAAATGTGTCCATATACAAAAATTAGATGTAGGTCACCGGCATTTACAACTATTCGATTATATTTAGAAAGTGTAAAGTTATTGTAAGTCATAGTATGAGTTAATAGGTCACATTACGTATGAGTTGTATTTAGGTAGACTAGTAAGTGATATATTTGTAAGAAACTACACTTATTTGATCCAAAGAAAGATATTACAGGTGGATGGGAAGCACATTACGGTAATGCTGAAGGTAAAAGAAGAGGACGACGAGGGGACACATTGAGCAGGGAACTGGAGGAAGAAATCAGAAAGAGTAGCGACTGGAGAAACTGAAAAAGGGATCGCATGACAGTTTGGAGATCGCTGATTAGAAACCTACGCTCTATAAGGTTAAACAGATTAGTGTTACTAAACTTAATGCCAAGTAGCAGGCGCTTTTACGAGAATATGACAACTTATTAAAGTACAATGTAAATATCGTATATTCATTTATTTATTCATAAGATTTCTTTACTGACAATTCTTTTATCAAAATCTAAAAATATTACTATATATGAGGGAATACTGGAAGTCAAGATTGAGAAAATAATAAACAATGAAAGTATCTACAGTGAATTCATCATACGTTGAAAATATGCAGAAATACAAAAGTGAAATAAATTAGAAAATTGGTTTAATTAAAATTTCACTAAAGCTCACTCTTATACCGACGACCAGGATAGCGATAATGGTTGTACAAATTTTTTTGAATGCAAAAGCTAGGTTTGTGAATATGGATTCCGATAGATTCAGTAATATGTACAAGACAAACTTGCAAACAATGTGGTAAATTTAATGGGATATGTTGGAAACTTTTAAAGCTTTATTCAAATCAACACGAGCTTTTTTGTTTACCATGTGAGAGTTGAACTCTTAGTCACTCACACCTGTCCTTTGTTAAACCAAGATGGATGATGTTCCACTATGAGATGATGGACTTCCAGATTTGTACAATGGGTCGCTTAAAGAAACAGTCAGTCACCCAACATTTTAATACCACTCCATAGGAGATACTTTCAATAGCAGTTTCTTGATTCTTAATATTACGACAATACTGAGCTTTCCTCACGTACTAAGTAATGTCGCAACCTTAGTCGAATTTTTCGAATAATTACTTTGATTACCATAACCATTTCTCCCAACTACTTAATTATTTAATGTCATTTTATAAACTGTTATATAATCATTGTGTTAAATCGCTACTAGCATGATATTAATATACATGATGAAAAACGAATGGAAAATTTTTCGCTCTATTCGTCGTCTAAATGGGAATTTTCACTAGATAAATTGCATTCTACAGTTATTTATTCTAACAAGACTGCATAGAATTACTAATATAACGGACAAACAAAGGCTTTTCCTTTGGCCAAAGAATGTTACTACAATATGATAATACGACCTGGAAACGAAATTATGCTGCGACAACATTGGACATTCGATCGACACATTACATATAAACTGGAGTCACGTTGTACCACAGATTCTCAAACACAGAGTTTAAAGCAGAAACCGCATATTAGTTTACACACAGAAAATCCTGATTTCCTTTGCTCAGAAACTCATACCGCGTTAATTACAATGCGAAATCATTAAAAGTGGCAGATTACAGAACAAGTCAAACGGCATTTTGCCAATAGAAGCATATCGATAGTAAAGTAAATACCAATGGACGACACAACTAATAGTTGTCTGAGACAAGTTTACAAAAATGAGTGCATTAATGGTGCCTGTAGCAGCACATATTAGCAATCCCAGTGAAATAATCATACAAAACCCTCCAATGAATGAAATCAAGTTCCACTTTCACGGTCAAAGTGGTACATATGTCCATGTTTGTAACCTAACAAAATCTGGTTGACGAAACAAATGTCTCATTTCCTCTGATTCGATGTTTCTGAACCTAAGTTGGGACTTAATTATGGAAGTTAGGATCGTAAAAACTGCACCAGTCACATTAATAAATCTCTAATAAACTAATAGTTGATTAGTATTTTGGCAGCCGTTTCTTTTTAAATGATGTTCACCAACAACGACAAATACCTAATTAACGGATTTAAAGAAATTCCCCTTAAAATACATGAATGACATAATGGTAATAACGATAAGACTATCGATAATCAGAATATCAAGCTAGACTGAATAGATTCAGTGCATTTATTAAACGAACCATTTGCTTTAAAACTGATTGCTATAAAACATTGTACTGAGTGCCGTGTACTACAGTAAAGTGATTCAAATTCAAATTATATGGTGATAAATCCTAAGCGACAGAATATTGACAACTCACACTATATTAATTCTTATTGTGGTCTACTTTTTACGATAAACAAGTCAACATGAAATGAATAATAAACGCACTAAATAAAAACTATAATACAAACCAAGTATAGTAGGATAACCCTTCATATAGTTCATGATTTGTACATAAATCTGAGGTATTAGGTTGAGGTAATGCCATAAGTTCAGATACGGGTGAAAGCAAAGATGTTTACTAAAAATGGATAATTACCAAGTATGATAATACTTTGTTTTTATTAGTTGGTGAATCCAGAAACTAACAGAAACAATATACAGAACATGGTTCAAGATTACAACTGGTTGAAACAATACGTGAATATCACCAGGAAGAAAAAAGCAAAGAATATTTAGTAATATGCACTAAAAATAAGAAAGATTATTTAAAAATCACCCTTAAACAAGTTTCCAGTTATCCAATCTGATTTACACAGTGTGAGTGTGTATAGAGGAAATGACAGCCGAATTGAATAAAGGTACAATAAAATGGGATATTTGGATAGTCAAAGCGGAGGTAAGGGTAAGCACTTAAAACTGAGTGGTCTACTGAAAATGTTCATTGAACTCCAACTGGAAAATTTATTCAGCTAACAATTGGGGCACACATATTTTGTCCTCTAGGTCCCATGGAATCCGAACGATGATTCGGTTGATTTCTTTGCTGATTAGGGTTTTTGGAGTTAACATGGTTGGCCGAAGACTTAGAAACACCTGTATGATTACTTCCACTATTGCGAATACTTTCACCACCGCCTCGTTGAATGCGAGGAATTTGACGAGAATCTAAAGTTGAAAGCGAAATATTGATTGTTATGAATATGAAAAAAATAATAAACCACAATCCGATTATTAATCAATCATTTTAGCCTTGAAGTTAAATTTGCACACTATTGGCTCCCGGCTCAGTGGTCTAGAGATTAAGTGTTTGAGCGTGAGACTGGATGTCCAGGGTTTGATTACCAGTCGCGGAGTCGTCTGTGTGCACTGCTGAGGGGTCCCGTACTAGAACAAAACGGCCATCCAGTGATCTCATGTTTACACTGACTGCCTAACTTAAATAGGTTCGTAATATCAATAAAATTGTCCTACTTTAAATAATATAGACTTGAACTGTGTTAGTTTGAACCATGGCGTTTTTCGAGAGCTCAGAAAGACAGTGAAATGCAATGATGAGAGACGCTGATCTAAGATATTTACCCTACTAATTGTTTCTTTAACCACCAGAAGTGTGGTTTTTCGAAATTGTTGTTAATGTGTGGGCGAGATTGACAATGATAAGTTGTTTGCTTAGTGAGACTAGTAGTCTGACAGGTACTAGATGAGTTGTATTTTCCCTTAACCTTATTATTACTCGGATTTTTGTTAGATTGTGTCGGCTTCTTGTCGGTTTTTTTGGTGTGGAAATATATTTACATTCTAGTCGGGCTAATCACGTGTTCTTGATCTGAGTTGTGTTGAATTCCCGTAGAACAGACACTGGGAGGGATTGTAGTGTAGATAATATTCGTCTAAGACAAAATAACGCCCCATTCGTGTAGACAAGGAAAAAGTTGTCATATCGATGAATCCATCTTATGTAATTCATGTAACTGATCAGTTAGTCACTAACAGCATATGTACGTCCGTCCACACTACTACATTTTACATCAGCACAACAGGAAATTAACGAGACGAAAATTATAACACGACGGTACCGAAAAACTAAGCAATTCATGTTGTTATTCATTTTTGTATTGGTATTATCGTCATTCATCTCCGCTTATAATTCATACTGTAGTTGTTTTAATGACCTCGGAAAGAACATCACGGGATTCAAAACTAGTTTATGGTTTCATAGACTGTTATTGCCGTCTACTTAATATATCAATGGAATGTAAACAAGTGATAGGTTTTTGGTACCGAATGAACTATGTGGTACGCAGACAACCATCATACTTCTAACAAAACTAACCAAAACACTGAACTACTCTTTCCAAGATATAACAAAACCTCCACGAGATAAGCTTTTCGTTTGATTTTTAACAAATTACAACACAGAGATGTCACCCTTAACTTCCTTGGTATCTAAAAGCATAGACTTAAGTAATTAACAATGATTCCGTGGACATGTTAATCACAATATTATTACTAATACTTATTTATTTGAACACATAAATATTGATATAAAGGGGCACCGAATATAAATGCGCCACGTAATTCATCTGATTTGTGTGTGGACTGTGATACTGCCCGGGTGCCCAAACCGAAACAGGTGTTTTTCTTAGGGAATCACACACGGAGCCTCCAACCTAAAGTTGTAACCCACAAGACAGTGGAGCGACGTCAGGAGATGCAGTCCCATGGTAGCCGGTGACCAACAATTGGTTCACACACCATTTGTTTCTTCAGGATCATGGAGCCCATGTGCACCATTGGTTTGGAGTTGAGGTTTTCTAACTCCCCTAGGTGGACCCTCCATATCCACCAACCCGTTTAAAGCACCGGACATTCGCTTTTCTTCCCCTGAATTCCGTGAATTTTGATTCTAATCTGTTTCTGATCATGGTTGTAAAGCAAAACTACTTATGGGTATGCGATTGCTGATAGTAACTGTAAAGATCGTTTCTGTGTCGATCCTTTTAAGATAACTAACTGTTCGAGATACAGCTTGTCATAGTTAATGCGTTGGCAATGTTATAATGTGGCTGAGTCATTCCATATTTCTTTAATGATGAAAAAGCTTACATTCTGGTAAGAATTCTCACTAGTCGATTTAATGATAGTATACTGCTACATTTCTTTACATTGAAGAACTTATCCATAGAGACAATTAAAATAACATCGTATAGACAAAGGTGATTGGTTTATGACGTTAAATATGTTAGGTCACTGTTCATTCCGTTTATTAGTGGAAAGCGTGGCTGCAGTAAGCGTAGTCTGTAACTAAAACCAGATGTAATATTTTTTAAAATGAACATAATGTGACAACACTAGAAAACACTTTATATGAGTTCATCGAACAACACAAGTGAAGAAAAGTTTAGTAGATTATCGATCAATAATCCAGTAAAACTATTATTATGACAGTCTTTTAAACATACCTGGTCTTATGTGATTGACTTGAGGTCTCGGCTTGGGCTGACGTCCACCAGGATGTGGACGTGAATTTGTAATGTTGTTATAAGTAGTTTCTTGTTTCTCCGGATCCTCCTTATTTGAGCAACTATTTGAATGTACAGCATAGTTAGATTCACTGCATTTTGAACTTTGATTGTCACCGTTTGATATACGATGACCATTTTCAGAATGTGTGAGAGGATTTGAAGACTCATCATTGCTACAATTACAATTACAAAGAAAGTACGTTTTCTTTATTCGAAATGGGATAAAAACATCGCTAAACAGGGATTAACACGACTGCATCCTATGTAGGACACTCCAAAAAAATTTCATTCACTTTTTCTAGGCGAAGAAAACTGAACAATTTTATTAGTCATTTGACAGTAGATTAGATGAGTGGGTCTTCTTTCTGATAACGGCCTGAAATATAGTAATATTAGTCAACTTTATGTAATATGGTGCTTCCATCAAGAACACGGTGATATGGAGTGTCTTTCACTTCGAAGTTCATGAGCATCTAGTTTTTATTTGGCATTTATGTAAGGATTATTATTTCTTACTGACTTCTATGTTTACATGATCTATAAAAATCCGATACCTTGCATATTTATCCTAAATTCAAATATGTTCCCTACTGTTTGTCTACATTGAAAAATTTTATTACTAGACATCAAATGTTTTTTGACTTGAAGTGTTTCACACCATAAAGATTAGTAAAATCCTAGCGTAATATTTCTGATCTTAGGATTGCCTAATATAGTACACCTAATCCAAAGTATCTCCCGTCTTTATTTTCATCTATGATTAGAAAGAATGCTAATTTGGAAGTCATATCCAATAACGATATTTTGTCTGTGACTAAACAGATCATCAACAATCTAAGATAAAATTCCAAGAGACCGACTGTAAAAGATCGAAAACTTATCGTGTGAGCACCGGCGGTGACAGTCGGTCTTAATATGGCAGTGTCCTATCATTCTATCATTGTGTGACAAGTTAGGCTAGTGAACGTTTGTATCAGATCATCAAGTTGTTTGTAAATGGATGACCGACAATAATCCATGAGGTAGTGTAGCGACGTCAAGAGATGAGGTCCCATAACTATCGGTGGCCAAGAATAGGTTCATACGTCATTTGTTCCATCAGGATTCTGGAGCGCATGAACACCATTAGTTTGGGATCAGAGTTTTTCAACTCCCCTAGATAGATCCTCTATGCCCACCAACCCGGTTTAAGAGCCGGACATTTGCTTTTCGTCCTTTCAATTTCATAAACACCGATCATCAGAAGGCAGCAAGTAGGACTTCCTAGGCAATGGCTATATCAGCGTGGCCATATGAGAGAACTTAGAGAGCGACAGCGAACTCTCCTCACTCTTGACCATACCAGGGTATTTAAGGGCAACCCCGCTGTTCATTATAGTTTTAAGAGAGAAACGCAGCCTTTTCTGTCACCCTATTCAGTAGCTCAAGAAAAAGTTTGTGATTGGATACTTGTAATAAGTCAATGTTCAGTAAGTAGCAATAATAGTAAACAAATAAAAAAAATTACTAAAAATACCGACAACGGCACCAGTAGAATACCATGTTTAATATCAAAGAAAACTGAAAAATGCTGGTTCGAAACAGGTAGTGCAACAACCAAAACCCTTGAATATTAACAGTCAGGATTATACGGTTTCCATAGACTATGTTGAATCGAAGACCACAAAGATTGAAATAGGTAGACATACACACTAGATGAAAAGCTCAGTATTTTATTCAAAATCTAACGAGAACCTATTGAAATTTTACATTTGGTGAAAATCACAATTACCTCGAAATATCTTTAAGTGGGATGGTCGCATCCTTGGGTTTTAATATAGACGGCGGATTCTCAACACCACGAAGCCGATCTAACTCCTGTAAGCTTGCGACTTGAAACTCCAAAAATAACTGTGTATCACGTATGGCTTGCTGAGTTCCCGTTAACTGGAATGAAACGTGCTCACGATCGTCTTCAGGTGATTTAGAAATCTTGATTCCAACAAGTCCCACTCGATCCACGATATGTTGAACGTGTCGACGACCTGATCCCAAGATAGGACCTACATATGATTTAGGTATCTGAAAGATGTCTTGAGAGAAGTCCAATAACTTCTTCGCGTTTTTAACAGCATCTTGAGTCTGGAATGAATAGGTACCGTATTTTATTAGGATTTTGTTTGTTTAACAAAACCGTGAAGATACTAAATGGGAGGATAACTAACGCTTGATATACTATGAATAAATCATTAAAATCCAACTTATATGTCCACAAAAACAAACTGTACACTAATTAAAAACTAGCTTGTAATAAAAATAGTTACATTTAATAATTACTATATATATATATATATATATATATATATATATATATATATAGAGAGAGAGAGAGAGAGAGAGAGAGGGGCTATGTTAGTCCTTAAATAATATACTCAGTAATGTTAATAATGTAATCCGATAAGCACATGTAGACTTACTTGGCTTTGAGCCAAACGTTTTGGTGTTAATGATATTATCTACTTAGCGAAATCAAAGTAGGTGGAAAGGGTTTTGCCTGTAGTTTGATGGTAATTTCCAGTACATTAGCACTGGGTCATTACCCTATGCATCAACAATCTTCTGTGCAGTCATCAAAATAGCTGTCTTTAAGAATCCGGTTACTTAGCTCCTCAATTAAACTCCGTTTAGACATTAGCAACATAAACCATTAAGTTGATGTTAATTACTTTGATTAAACATACCTAGCTTGATGGTCCAGTGGCAAACCTTTAAGCTGTCACATCAACTTCTAACTAGACAATTGTTTGTTGCTGAGACAAAAGATATGGTTTATGTCACTAGGTGGTTAGAGATGGCCAAATACAGGGATGATTATCTCTACCAACTAAATATTCAGCCACTACAGTTATCAAAATAGTGCTTTTCTCTTGAGCTATATTTCTATTCTTCAGTGTAAGTGAACATCAGATTGAAGTAAAAACCAGTAAAAAAAATACTAACTAGTCCATCTTTGTGTTCTATTCATCTAATTGGAGTTATCAAATTAGGATTCCATAATTCCATAATCCGGAATTTCCAGACTGACAGGACTTTTTAACCCTATGTCTTTCAAATGGCTTCCCTAAACTGATGATAAACGCTATTTAAAATATTAAAGCTCGCATATAACTTTCTTAATTAAAAACAGAATAAAACAGGGAATTAAGTTTGACTTCTGTCTAAATTTCCCAACCTACTCAATGAAAAAGACGGAAACAAGTGGAGTCGACAATCCGAACTGAATTATTAAGAAAATCAAGCTCAAACTCGATAAGCAGTGCGTTTTAGTAACCCAGTATAACATCGTATACTATACTGAGTGAAATTTATGACTGTTTGAACGAAAGCAAATGGATCATCACTCACTAGTAACAAATCACGTCTAAAATTCTTATCCATAAGATTAAATTTTACTGTAGTTCGATGAAAATACAGGCATGTAAGGCCTTCCGTGTTCATGATATGCATCACTAATATTGTATATATATATGCACAGCTAGTACAAAAGATGGTTTTGCTGTCTTTTTAGTGATGCATATCATGAACACAAAAGGTCCTACATTGCGTTTTTATCGAGTGACAGTTAATTTTTTTCTAAAATTAGTTAATCTTAGATCTTGTTATAGCCGAGGGCGGGGGGAGTCCGCTATCACTCTCGAATTACCCTCACATGACCACGCGTATACAATCACTGCCAGGGAAATCCTACCCTCTGCCTTTTCGTGGCGAGGGCGTTGTTTATCAGCTTGAGAGGACGAAAAGCGGGTGTCCAGTGCTTTAAACGGGTTGGTGGATATGGAGGGTCCACCTAGGGGAGTTAGAAAACCTCAACTCCAAACCAATGGTGCACATGGGCTCCATGATCCTGAAGAAACAAATGGTGTGTGAACCAATTGTTGGTCACCGGCTACCATGGGACTGCATCTCCTGACGTCGCTCCACTGCCTTGTGGGTCAGAATATTAAATCGAAGGCTCCGTGTGTGATCCCCTAAGAAAAACACCTGTTTCGGTTTGGGCACCCGGGCAGTATCACAGTCCACACACAAATCAGATGAATTACGTGGCGCATTTATATTCGGTGCCCCTTTATATCAATATTTATGTTTTCAAATAAATAAGTTAATCTTATGGATTAGAATTTTAGACCTATTATTGAGCAATGACCCATTCGCTTCGGTCCAAGCAGTCACAGTATGGTATACGACCTTATACTGGGTTGACACTGTTAGTTTCCTTTCATTATGTTGACGTAGTGAAGCGATTTGAGCCGATTCACGTTTGTATTACTTTTTCCACAACTGGCACGACACTAAGTGTCACGGCTCTGGCAATTTCTGACTAGATCTTCCCTAAATTCCAATATTTTTTTACAACTTTTTCCGGCAGAAATCTATTTGTGACCTAGATTAAGACTCAATGATTTCGTTAGTTAAACCTCATTATTACAAATAACGGGAACTAATCAAAACAAGTTTTGTGGCTAACTAGCAGTTCGGGCACGATTACAGAAATCCATTATATAAAGCACACTGATGAGTACGTAAGTACTTGAGAGCTCATGAAATTGTTACCTTTTATCAGGATAGGTTAAATGTAAAGCATGAATGAACTTACTAGGCCTAGGAATTAACATTTACTGTTTGCTTCAAAAGCTGGGAGTGGAAAAAATAAAATGCAAAATGAGATCAAGTGTCCGGTTTGTGATATGACCAGGCTTTTATACAACTGAAAGTGTATAACTAGTCGACAAACTGGGCTGCTATTACCAATAGATTTAACTAATGTTAGCAGCCCTACACTTGTACCCAACTGAACCTTTAAGTTAAGGCTATTGGTAAGTGCTAATTTTACCGCATTAAACGAATCTATCAAATTCGAAACACAAAATGAAAGTACATACCTTCCCAGAAATCCTGATATTACCAGTCTGGCGGTCTAGCTTGACAGAAAGTACACCTTCAATAGCACTAGCGCGTCTAATATTTGACCCTTGAGCGCCAATTGCATAATGGATTAAATCCAGAGGTATGAGGAATTCTTCAACGAATGGTGATTGCTAAGACACCATAAGAAAGTAATGAACGTACCTGATTAAGGCGCGACGCCACCAACTTTTTGGATAGTTCTTCAGTTTGTTGCAAAATGGAGACTTTTTGTCGCAGCATGTCAACGAACGTGTTGTCGATGACAGATGCCCTGTTGATTGTGGAGATATCTGTAGAAATTACGAGCAAACGGGACTTTAGGTTGTACGTCTCACTGTCCCCCTTAATAACTGGGGACACAGGTTTAAATGTGTCGGGCGCCAAAGTGATCAGGACAGGCAAACCACATCGTCGCGCAAAATGATGGTAATTGGCAGGCTCTCTGCAACTGAGGAAAACCGGGAGTATTAACCATAGCTATACAGAGACAAAGCAAGAAGCAGAAACGTAACTTACTATGGAGCTAACTCGTCCGGTATATCTATAGCATGGATGTGAAAGGACGAGACACTAAGATTGGGATGATGAATCCGTGGTCTCAATTGGTGCTTTTCAACAATATCTGTTTTTTCAAGTGATGAAGGGTGAGGGACACTAATGCGTTTGTTGGGAAGGACAGTTACTTCGTTTGAACCAGCATTCTCAGAAGAGAAGTCAGCCATTAACTCCACAATAACAAAACTCCCACCAATTTTCCTTACAACAGCAGGCCACCAGGCAGAAAGTTTAGAAGCAATCGGATCACTTGATAACTCATGGTCTACAGGTGGCTCGCCAGGAGATGAGCTGATTAACACATCAACTTCTAGTCCTTGGACTGGTTCTAGAACTGTTCCTGGATCCTTTGGAGGGAGACGCAACGAGGAAGGAGGGAGAGTGAATTCCACAAGGGCTTTCGAGTGGGAAGAATCTAATAGTGTCACATTAAGTTCTTCTAAGGATTTCAACCCATTGATGACACCCTGAAACAAGATTAACAACAGATAGAGAACGTACGGGGTAGAACTCTCCATATTTGCCTTCCACCTCTACCGGTATGCAGACCTCCAACTGAATCATCCCAGAAAATTGAATACCCCTCGGAAAAGTACCGTGTTGATCAGACAACCAACCAAACCACCATGTGTTTAGTAAAATAATGTAACTATCTTATCTTCATAATAAGATCAGGAAATTAGTACCATTATTCACAACTATTTTTTTATATTCAAATTTTGAGTCTGTTAGCTGAGGGTTCAAAAACCTAATGCAGCTTTCCTTCGGGATATTTCCATCTCGTTCACTTTCTTTGATAAAAGTCGGTCTTGATCCCATTAAAACCATTTATTCGGCTGTATGCCACAAAAGTTGATTATTCAGTGGAAAAATTAACACTGTGAACTAATAGTCCAAACGTCAGATATTGAAATGATTGGGTGTCCTTTATGTTATGATATAACTAATAAATAATAGGAGTTTGTTCTATGTTCATAGGCACTTTGTATGTCATTTACACCATGATGACGAGTTTAATAAATCCGTGATCTCGGGATAACAATTGTCTTAGTTCCTCAAACTTTGTCACTATTTCTTTATAACATACGATTGTTGTCCACACAAAATCCACGGGTTTAAATAACACCAGCTCTGAGTAAAAATTGAGGACTTTGGTCCTGTTCATGAGGTTTGATCCAATCCAATGTCGATAATAAACCTAAGGGTCTTATCCTAGTTATCCTGGACGTGTACAGAAAATAAATAAATAATCCGATATTCATCAGATATATGATTTACTTGACTAAGAAAATATGAGTAATAGCCGGTATTCCGCAAATTTCTCTCATCTTTTCACCATAAAAACCTGTGACAATTAGTAATTCTCCCGAAGAGAGCCAAAAAGTCATTCGACTCTAATTCTGGCACTGCTAGTTTCCAAGGACACTGTCGGATTGAGGCCCTCGTTCAGGCATGGTGGTCATATCTCTGCACAACACAACTCCAGGCTCATCCACTCCCCCATCAATACAGAAGCCTCATGCCTCACTACATTTATCTACGCTCAGGTATACTGTCTTCATCCTAGTTTATCTTTCAGGGTGCCATCTTACGGACACGTCAAATAAGTCTTCAAAATTGGTGCTGACCTCATTTTTTGCCAGACAAACCCCAGCCAAAAGCGCTTGGTCAAGCATCTATACTGGATCACCATTGATAGGCATTGATAACTGTCCCGTGCCACCGTAGTGTATGTTACTTATGTTGGCAGATAAAAGCAGTACGTAACGCTGATCAGAAAATTGAGGACATCGAACTGAAGAGGAGAGAGGAGAAAACGGAAAGCAATCGAAACATCAACAGGAATGACAGAAAGATGAAGTTTGTAAGAGACAATTGATGGAAGATGCGCAAATGATAAATTTAATGTATGGTCTTCATACTCTACTAAGGCACTCTAATTCTGTTTCAAAAAACAACTTGACATTCTCCATCTGATTTCTTTCTTCATTACACAACATCTAGTCACTTGAAATCACAGACTAACGGATAACTTAACTGTTTTTAAAAAATATATCTTCAAACCCTTTCATTCTCGACTTCTGGTTCGGGACTCTAGATTTTGAGGGTGCTGTTAGTGACGGCATTGTTAAGCGCTGAATGTATGTGACACCTTTGATAGTTCTATCAATGTACTAAAAAATTCATATCATCACTCACATATTTAGTGTCTAAACTCATGATTGAACCTATCCCATATTAATGTCTGTTCTTCAGCACATCACATGATATTTTGCCCTGAATAAAGATCCAGCGGCTCCTTCATCCCTAGTCAGCTCCTATTTACAGACCAGACAATCGGCAGTTGTAAATAATTGTCTGAAATTCCAAGCCTACCCGAATTATAACCATTCTATTTGAAACTACATAATAACTGGTAGGCCTAAAGTCAATCACTTAAACTGATATTTACTCCTGCATAATTTTATTTTGTGCCACATCACTGTTCATAAGTTTTCGAAACAAAACATTCGGGATAAAAATCAGATTTGGAATATATAATACCGCCCCCTGGCATCTGTTCTAACAATGTGTAATATAGCTTCTAACATGTTGGAAACAGACCTTTAGTTTTATGTCACAGTAAAAGTACAGCGCCCCAAGCCTTTTTCATGTAAATAAAACTTCAACACCAAACGTCTCACCTCATGACATACTGGGAAGGATATAAAAAGTGCCGTTTAAATTCCACGATTGACTAATGTGAAACGGAAGAATAGAAATTCGTAAAAGACTATGAATATCATTGAAAATATCGCTTTTATTTTCATAGGTGATAGTAAAACATATTAGGAAGAGTGGAATGATGCTGATGCATTGTGAATGTAGCTTTCGGTTCGAAAGTCCTTAACTTGAATTCTAAGAATGTCAGGAAGCCTTTTTTTAATTTCGTTCTCTTTGTCAAAGCTGTTCAGCCCACTATTAGGCCACCCTGCATCTAGCGCTAATATTCCTCGCCTCTCCACATTTTCAGCAAGTCCACATCAAAAGTCTATAAGAAGACAGCCGTTTTTTCAAGGACAAGTCACGAAATTTTCCGGCAAGTAATTGGATATTTGTGGCCTCTATTTTAGAATAGATCAAGACCGGTTACATGAAACTGCATCTAGTCCTCAGACCCTGGCTGGTAAACTGATACATTACTCTGATAGGTCCTTGAAGCCTTCCTTTAAGATTATACGGAACTGAATTAGATGTAGATTTGTTGGCCTACTTTTGAGCCGAAACAATAGTATCAATCTCCAATTCAGATTGCTCAAAAAGAGGAAATACTAAAAGATGAACGGAAGTCAAACTGTCAGTGTTCTGCCCAGGATTTTAATCTAACCGGGTGGGGGTGAACCATTGTCATTTACTTTTACGAAAATCGAATTTAGAGGACTGCAGTCTATCAAGAAACTGATGTGAATCATTTTCATTACAGTTGTTAATGTATGTGTTTCACTGGATAACGTTCGCCGCTATCTTTCTTTATTTTGAAGAGTTTGTAGAGGCATTGATCCCTAACCACACAATCCTCAATGCTGAACACGGGAAAACTGGAAAATATATATTCAACATTTAACGCAGAGAAAAACCCAACGACGGAGAAGGCGGGAGGAATCAATTCAGTTAATTCGAATTGGTCAGACTGCGTGGCTCGGCATTGCAGGCGTGGTCACTCTTGATTGTGGTAACATAATCCTTTATCCATAATAAACATATTGCTCTATCTCTAGCCTAAATGTGTTCTTCATCATATATTGTTTGTTACGATGCGATGAGTTGGTGTAGGCAGTGATGTGACTTTCACGTTAGATCTTATAGATTAATCAATTACATTATGACAAATCTACAATGTTAGGATTAGGTCTATTATTAACGTAGTACTAATACCGAAATATACCATAATCCTGCAGGTTCTTCGATGATCTGAGAGTCATGAGACTCCCGTCCAACAACCCATTTTCGTGCACCTTTTAAGATTATTAGCTCGACTTCACCTGTGTAGAGGGCATTTTCCTATTCGTAATCGTAATGCAACAAAATTTCTAGATGGTGAATCGGTTTCAGTAGCTCGAGACTGGCGAAGATGGATAAAGTTGTTGAAACATATATTTGACAATTTTACAGTGACAACGCAAACTAGAATACTTTTCATTTGAAAGACTACATGACCGAAAACGCCATATATGATAGAATAAATTTCCATAACATTAAAATACGGCGCCCAAACAACAAGGGATGTTTACTTGTAATGGGTATGAGTAAAGTTTGTAATGATGCTAGTGAATTTGAAATAAAATAACGAAACTGGACTAATTACAATAAGTCTAGAACTTCAACAAGATTCAACCAAGAACCCAACGTAGAATTACCAAGCTACAGATTACACAGTATTACTATGATATGCTGAGAAACAACACACAATATTTAACTGTACAGTAAATGTATTCATTACTCACCATATTTCTGAAGTCATCATTCTTCTTCTTTCAGTGTAACAATCACTATTAACCACGATGGAATAATGGCTGCTAAGTCAGGGTAGTTGAGTACGTCTGAAATATCTTGGCTGTTAATAGTATCAACGTTAGATAGCTGTTGAGAATCTCAGTATTACACTCCTCACCCTTGGAAATGACATAGGCATAACAATGTGATAATTTCCGTTAGCAATCTGTGGTTAACACTGCGTTCTCGGTCATCGGTTTCATTTTCAAAATCATAGGAAGCCTGATTGCTGTATTACTGAAAAAAGTTGCTGATCATCAATGTAGGTAACCCATGTGGATGGTTCGGACATACTGGAGTTTGATAGCAACGGCGTGACATCCTAGTTTACGTGAGGTCACATCTTGCGGCCATTACCTAGCCTGAATTGTCACTTCATGGTGTCATTTACCATGACTAAATTCGATAAGTTGTTCAACAGTTCAGGATTTGTCGTCTAGTGTGGAAGTGTGTGATAATTAAAAGTATTTGAAAGTATTTAAAAGTATTCATAAATTCAAAAATGGTCATCCGCCATATATTTTTACCTGAAGAATGATATTGTTCTCTCAAGAGTAATTTGCTCAAGCAAAAACGCTAATAGTCTTGAAGATGCCACAGGTATCCGGAGTTTGACAACGCTTTAACCAGTAACACTTTCCACTTGAATCGTACCCACCAGGTGAAATCAAAAGACAGAAGCGGGGAGGTTCAAAGATATATTTGATAGACTATCAATATATCGAGGATCGTCTGATCTAATCTGTCTAGCGATTGCAGGGGTTGTTGAGCACGGCGTTCCCACTCGTGATCTGGTGCGGGTGCATGACTGAGCGCTTTCAGTTAGGTGAGCCCCTTAGAACTAATGTGGTCAGCATCCAATGTCGAAAACTTACAGAGTTATTTATTTTGGGGATTTACTTACCGCTACAGTCTGGCTTTGTGTCATTAAATCTTTATTTAGTGAGGTACAGAAACTAAGTAAGGCCATTATCAAGATGTATAATGGGTCTTATAATCCTTGAAATTTCCACACACCACTGATACACTTTAGTACCAAACTATATAAAAGTGGACACCACCCTGACATGTGATAGAAGAAAGCAAGGTCTTGAATTTTTAGTGATTAAGTCTATGAACCATGGAATTCACTGTCAAAAGCGGTAATGATAGCATTCTGTACTGACTATTTCTGAGAAGTATTATACTTGTTAATCTCTGAGTGTACTGAAGAAGGTAGCAGGGGCGAAAGAATTAACTGGTGCAGACTAGCTCGTCAAATAGGTGGTTGATATATTGGATATTATGATAATGACCTTACTTGAAGGCGGGATTACGACTAAAGCCACGTTTTGACACCACGTATTTTCTTGAGGTCTGTATGTATTATAACATATTGGTATGTATAACAACTGTTCATCTCCCATAAAATATTTCCTTTCACTCAGACCATGTGCCAGTCAAATGTGTTGAAATCAAGAATTGCATACAGTATTAAAGTTTATGTTCTCATGTTTTCAAATGTCGTTGAGATTTGTAATTCTATATTAGATTTGTGATTAACTTACCGGACTCACTTTAATATTGTCTGCGCATTAAATATACGCGATGTCGTACTCCGTCAAATTTTAATTACCTAGTATTTCTTTTGAGATATAAGTCGACGACCCATTGTTTCCAACGCATTTTCCCCTTTATTAGTTGGTTGGGGTGGTTTTCCTCTTAAACGGTGGTAACTTTGATCACTCAGAATTCAGTGGATATAGACGTTATAGGTGTTACCTCTGCCCGACACTTAGAAATCTTTATATAGACAGGTGACCTTGTCAATTGCTAACTTAAAACCATAAGTTATCGACATCTTAACATTAATAATTAATGATAGTAACGTCGAAATAAATTAAATTGTTATTAAATACTTTGAAAAGCTAATCGACAGATAGCTACAGTTTTCGAAAATGCTCATCGGGAGGTTAGAAAGTCATACTGCGAGGTAGATCAAGCAAGTAGTCAATGTTATGTTTATTCTAGACGAACTACGATATGCGTTTGAAATTCCATCATGTCTAAATAACTTTTGCAACTACAGCGGGATTATTAAGCCAGAACTAATTTAGATAGTGTGTTCAAGTCTTTAACATTTACACATCTCCAAAGCAGCAAAACGGCTAGTATAGTCACGTATCCAAATGCAAATGTTCATACTACACTTCGCCAATGCTAAAACGTTTTCAAGTCGAAACTTTCAGATCAACTTGTGTGTAAACGCTATGTTGAAAATTTGAATGTTATTCGAAAATAAAGCTCAGTAACTAGGTGAGAATTTACATATTTAATGTTATACCCCACGTTGTTTAAATACTAGCTTTGGTACCTGGCTTACCAAACCATTTAAGTAAAGTAGATCTAAAGCTTGAATCTCAGCAATAAGAAGCCTGACGACCTAATCACAATTCACTGATTTAAGTGTTCTTAGGAATAGTAACCAGTCTGAATGCGATTCTTGAGTGAGCGGTGGTATAGCAACCGGATGATTTGCGATGTACCTTGATGCATCTATTCGGAGTGCATTCTTCTGGTCTTTGGAACCTTATTTAAAGTCTGAAGTAACATAGTCTATATATCAAGACCGTTATAACCGACTAAAATTATCGACGGGAGAGTAGCATCCTTCATTTGAAACTCATATTTCAAATAGACTCCTTTACAAACAAATATATCATCTAGTTTGAAACAATTTAAACGAATCGGTATAGACTTGTCTTCTGTACTGTTAGCATTACAAAAACGAAAACTTTTGAAGCAAACTAACGTCTGTAAATTTACATATGTACTTGTAAAATTTATATAAGCTGAAACTTCTGCCTTTCGAAATCCAGCGTAGGTAAGCTGGATAAAAAGCTGTAAAATTGAAAACAGCAAAGTTACACAGAACATAAACATTTCAAAGTATTGGTTTCAATCCATCATCTCATTTCCACCTTTTCGTTATGTTATCCGTTTAAAACTAAATAATAGTTTTCCCTATTTCAGCTCCGAAGATGGTTGTATATCATGATCGAAACCTAATCATCAACTACATTCCAACATCAATTACAGATGCTGATTTGACCAACTTGTTCTCATCTGTCGGTGCCATTAAAACTTGCCGGATTATTCGAGACCGAAATAGTGGGTCCAGCTTTGGCTTTGGGTTTTGTGAGTATGAAGATTCCGACTCTGCTCATAAGGCTATCACACGCTTTAATGGTTACCGAATCGCCGATAAGATTCTGAAAGTTTCACTAGCTAAGCTGCAAGGACGACTTTGTCAAAGCTCAAATTTATACGTTAAAAATTTTCCACCTACACTCACCGAACACGATTTGACAACAGAATTCGGACAGTTTGGTCCTATTGTTCAGTGTCGTATATTGCGTGATCACGATACGAATGTTTCTAAGGGGAGTGCCTACGTACTGTTCGAGAATCCTGCTGATGCCGAAGCAGCAAAGCGTTCTCTAGATGCACGCATCTGGCCTGGATCTACAGATAATCAGATGTTGTCTATAAAGTTTGCCACTCCACCTTATCGACAATCGGTTAGTTTGACAAAATCCAGGAACAACTTCAGAAGACCATTTTTGCATCAACAAAATCTGCGAAACGGTCAGTTGTCTGCTCACTTATCGCAATCAAAGCCTCCAGTTCCTGAAGTTTATACACCCTCTTGTCCACAGTTACCTTACATTCCTAACAATTTATGTACAGCATTGGCCCAGTCTGTCCAGGGGTCACTATTGCAGTCTCCTGTTATCCAACCACAACTAAATCCACAGGGTCTGTTATGGAGTAATGATTATCCCAATACTGAGTATCAGAACCCCTCTTCTGCCTTAAATGTAACTTCTGGTTACTTGGCCCCTTACTTCTACTCACAACAACCTTATCCAAATCTTTGGCTACCTCTTCAACAGAACTATCTTAACCAAATCCCTTTGAATACTTTATGTACAAATCAGTTGGAAAGTTATGGAAATTCAGTCCAAGGTTGTCCTATAATTACCAACGTTCAAAATACATTTTATCCTGCTTCAAGTCAGCAACAATCTAATTTACCTACTAAGATATCTGATGTAACTTGTAAGCAATCAAACGACTTTTCTCATTTCGGTCGACCGAAATCCACTAAAATTGACAAAAACGAATCTACATCTGTATACATATATAATATTGGAAACATGACTGAAGCACAAATATTTGTTCTGTTCTCGCAGTTTGGACCAATCTTAAATGTTTCTATACCGAAAGATTACAAAACAAATTCCTCCAGAAACTTCGGTTTCGTTACGTATAGTAATTTTCAAAGTGCCCAAAACGCTATAGATATAATGAACGGATCACTTTTATCTGGTAGGCGACTACAGGTTTCATTTCGTCAAAGTAAAGGAAAGTGGACTAAATATGGAAGTCTCAGTAACAGTAATACTTTGGAAAAACCTGTTTCGAAACAGAAAGGGGACATTCCAGACTCTGGATGCCACAGTCCGCAGTTGTCAAGTGAGAAATTAGATGTTACTAATATTTTACCTCCCAACAATCTCCAAGTTTCAGAGACGATCGAGGCACTTGGGAATTTGAATATATCTAATGGAAGCAATATGGCCTCCTCTAAAGTCTAACAAAACTGTAAACTATACATCAAAAAGTTAATTTACTAGACTATATGAGCACGAACGTATTTTTTCTTGTGAAACATTTACTTCATTAATTTCAATACATTTTCCGTATAAATGAAGCCATGTACATATATATACAATATTAATTTTACTGACGATAAATGTTTATTATTACAACGAGATTGTTGTCGCAAATCCTTTTTTGAGCTCTTTGGGGGTATTCTATAAGTGTAGAATTCTTTGGGTATGCATTATTAAGAAACAACTTTAAGTATACTTCCAAAGAAATTATTTAGTGCATTGATTCACTTCTAGTTATTGCCATACTTTTGTCCAAACTGTTTCACATGATTTCTTGCTGTTGAGTTATATTTTTATTAATACTTTAGCGTACATAGTTTAAGTAGCTTTATTTAGCCTAAAAGCCATGCGAGTACGTTGAAAGTGAAAATAAGAAATCGTATTGCTTTTACGTAATCGTTCATTAAATCTCTATATTTGAAGCATCGTCTTGGTGCTAAAGGCATTCGGCTTTCAGCCATTAAGTTTAAGGTTGAAGCTTCATTCCCATCTCTTCTGTTTGGGCAAAAGTGTAGTGTCATTAGCGTTCACAGTTAAAGTTTAGCTAATACCCAAGTACCAGTTGAGTGGATCAGTTGGTTTATTTTTTACTTAGTACCACTTTTTTGTTTAAATTTTACCATAGGATTTCCAAGTACAAGGTTATTTGTTAGGTTTTTAAAGTTAGAAGACAAAGCATTAACTATCTTAGTTTATCATAGACAATATTTCCTGACTAATGCTTTTGAAATTAAGTACCTGTATTCTTGATAGTATATTCATTTGTAAATCAACTGTCTACAGTAAAATATGACTTGAGAAAGAGTATCGTAGTTTTGTTAATTGTCATGTACACTAAGAGTTTCTGTTATCAAGGTGAGACTTTCTTATGAGAAATCAGCACCACTCATAATTATCGATTAAGTGTTTCTTATTTAATATTATCTCACCAGCAGAATAGGTGGTGTCTTTCGTTTACCTGCGTTGTAATACTTATCATAAGACTGTAAATATGAGTCAAGATATGAGACATTTCTTTTTGACAGCCCCTAAATACTGTTAAATTCTTTGTAAAAGACACTGAACAACAGTGTAAGAGTGATTATGGTGATTGAAATAAGCATTATAATTTTATTGAATAAACATACCCAACTAAGGATGCTAAACCTAGTTCTAGTCATTAATCGAAGAGATTATGTAATTACTCACGTAAGTGACATGTATGATTACATGTGCTAATCAATGGATTAACAAGAATTAGAATTTCGAGCGTGATAATATAATAGGAAATTAAGACGTATTATTTCGGTTATGTATGCTCACCTGTGTGGAATATTTAACATCCTAATCATTTTTCCATTTCACTTACTAGTTGTGTAGTCCTTATTACCAACAGGGTTAGCTGTATCTTAATTTATTGATATGAGGTTTAAGAATGTATGGAAAAGTATTGTTCACAGTCGTACGTTGCGTATGGTGTCTTGTAGACACATGTATGATTTCCTATGAGGTAAATAAAGGTACAAATTCAGTAGATTCTTCTAAAAATAGAAAAAGAAGTGGGCTCGTGCCGTGTTTTAAAAAAATATTTCATCGTACACTGGAAAGTATGGTTTCTGGAGATTAAACTGCTCATTTACATTTCTAAACCTTACTCCATTTACTTCGGTTCTCTCAACTGAATGGTGTGCAAACTTGTATTAGGTATGATGTATTTTGCAAAATAAATTTATTTTTGGAAATCAGAAAATTTATAATAGTTGAGAAGTGTTTGAATGGTTAGATAACGTGATGCAGGTACCCATCTAAGGCATTAGAAGATGGTTGCGCAATGTCATAAATTGGTTGGAGTCAGACGTTAAAACCGTTTCATGCTGGGTCAGCGATCCAGAGGTTAAACGTTTGCAAGCAAAGCTGTAGTACTTTGGTGGATTCACCATTGAGGCGTCCCATACTTGGGTGAAACGGCCATCTAGCGCTTCCAAGTTTTCAATGTTGGTCTAACTTTTATTGATTCATGATTTCAACGACATTCGCCAGTCTCTTACTGACTTAACTAGTTGGAAATGGCTATTATTAATTTATACTTTCGATCAGTGAAAAAGTAAAATGATTCATGTTTGATGACATACTGATATTAGATTTAGTGATAAGGACAAATTTTTTCCTTCTTTGGAACTGAAGAAAATCTATTTTGTCCTCTATCGGTCAACGAAATTTATTCGTAATATCCATTGTCTGTTGCTTCCCTTTGTAACATGATTTCGTAGGTAATAAATGGTAAAATACCATACAACTGAATACTACTGTTTTAAAATGCGACTAGCGTTTCTTTTCTAAGTTAGTTTCATCTGTCTGGCGGAAGTCACTTACATAATGTAGATTTGAAAATTAGATTGACATTAACGTGATGTAATCTTTTGTTAATTACATTTGATACTATGATGGAACAAGAATTTTTTGATGTAGCTTTTAAGTATAAAAGTTACTACTTGAAATAAGAAATAGATTACCATCACCAATGAAATAGATACTAATGATAATTATAACAAAATTGGTCTACATAAAATACACTGAGAAAAATAACACTATAAAAACTTTTCAAACTAGGTCATCACTCACTATTGACAGTCTTCATGAAAAAGACTGGTATCACTTATATCTGAAATTAATGAACAGGGAGTTATGGATTTAGTATTTGAACTGGTTAGTACTGGCTACTACAATCTCAAAGGATCTAATAATTAAAGGGACATTCGAATCCAGTGTCGTTATAAAAACGTTATCACTCAGCCGTAGTAGGAACCCTATGTGATAGATGGTCTCACTAATAAATCATATTAGCTATCATGTAATTCTTGTTAGTAATTTCCTACCAATTGTCCCTAGTCTCGAAAGTGTTTTGTAATGTGCCAGCCGGCCTCATGACTCCGCTGCTACTTGGTCAATAATGTTCTACTAGCATTTAGAAATAGAAAATAGAGAACAACATCATGATCGTTCGGTGTAAAATCACGCTCATTTGTCAGATCGAAATGCCCCGAACGTCTAATCCAATCAAATAATCCCATTACCCTATTCATTTTTAACTTCTGTTAAGACAAATATAGTTCTAAATAACATTCATCATGTGGATCAACACAAAAACTACACCATTTTTCTGCTTATTCCTCATCAGAAGAAGCGTTAGAAATTGTTCCAGACATCTCATGACCAATGTTCGACAATTTACAACCAACTATTATTCACCATAGTATTAAAAATGAATACGCTGAAACGTCTTTTCTGGATTAGATTCCTAGACACAATCCGACCCTAACAAAACTTATGTTTAAATAAAAATATTGAAGGAACTCAATAAGGGTGTTCATAAGGCATAAGAGAACGATTGATTTCAGTAATGAATAATAGCTATGTGATTCTACAAACACTTAATTATGTTCTAATACTCGTTAAACCATTTAATGGCTATATGAACTGAGTAGTTCAGTGGATATTGGGTGTTTGAATTGAAATGTATTGTTTTTAAGCTTCAATATAAAAATCAACACTGAGGTTCAGTTGATGAGCCCCAAATGATATGGAACACGCGTCTTGAATTTCATCGCTAGTTAAATTTCAGCTTTATTAAATTATCAGGGTTACTTTGACTTTGTGCTTTCATCTACAATTTAATATTAACTTATACTAGCCGCCTTGCTATTGAATATTTGATTACTTCTTTTCATATTCAAGTCAAATGCTTCAATTTCTACTTGACTAGCTTTACAGGTTATACACTGGAAATAAATCTTAAAACCAGTCACCACTAAGCATATATATCTTATCACTCACCTAAAATAAAATTATTTCGCTCAGAGACAAGATGATCAATATTTCTATCATGTACAACTAATTATAAAAAAACTAACAAAAAAGACTAATGAATTATGTCATTCAATGAACGTGACACATTTATTCTAAACATCATATACCTGTTTTCTAAAGGAAAAGCACTATTGGAATGGAATGACACCTAATCATAGTTACAGAAAAATAGAGAAAATTTCTTTTTTTGTCATTGTGACTGACATGTGTACGTTAATGTGTTTCCCTTCTTCATTGTATTATTTAAATAAGCACAATAATAAAAAGAAAGATTGAATCTAGGAATGAACAGGTACTCAGATTCTCAAATGATTAAAAGGAAGAAACATTATGTTAGATGAAATCATTCAGCTTACCAAAAATAACTTGGTTTAATGAGTTGAGTAGAGATTATTTTAATTTACAAGTGATATTTTTTGTGTGGAATAATCTCATTTAAGATACTATTGAAAAAAGAGTTCACCGGATAGTTGTTTCTACTTAGTATAGGACTCTTCAGTAAAACCGCATAATCTGAAATTTCCCCGACTTGATCTTTGTTCATGTCATAAGTGAGCTCTGTCTAGGAGTCTGACACCAAAACAAAATAACTATTTAATACTTTTTGATTCTCAACATTACCCTAACTGAGATAAAGCCTTGGTGATAATATCACCTACTGAAAAATATTCCATTAGATATGTAATAAGGAAGTGTATATATTTCAAAGTAAGGGTATGTTCACTACTTTTTTTTATATTCACTTATTAAAAATGAAATAATCTTATGATATCATGTCAGAAAATGAAGAATGAATTGTGTGCTATCTGATGTGTTCAGTTTTATTATTATTATTATTATTATTATTATTATTATTATTATTATTATTATTATTATTATTATTATTATTATTATTATTATTATTATTATTATTATTATTGGTTCAATAGTAAACCTGTTAACAGTTGTAACAGTATTAAGAAATACTCATTCATTGATGAGTTTGAATGTCTTATAGAAGTAGTTTTAATAAGTTTTATCCTTAGCAGTGATGATTTAAATACTTTGTTGAGGTGAACATTACTTTGTTTATAGTTTACATTGCGAAATAAAGTTAGATAATCGTTGGGAACTAGAATGTACTATACAGGTTTTCCGTCTTAGTATGAGACTCCTCATCAGTGCACACCCACAAACCACTGTGAATCTAACACAAAATCTTTAATACTTGCAATGAGCGATTCACATTTTGATTGTTTATACTAGTGGTA